TAGGAGTATTGATTTTTACAAGTTTACACATTTATAACTTTTCCCAAGTTTTCTATATCGTTTACTACTAAAGATGCAATCCTCGTTTTGGTAGTCGAGAGCCTCTAAAGTCTAGACTGCAGGGGTTCCGCGGAACCTTTTCGTGTAAACGAGCAATTTTTTCAAAAAAAATGCAAAATCATGACTTTCAAAGAGTTGCAATAGTTAAGGTAAAAAAAAAAAACATACCATAATAGAAAAAACGACTAATTCATTTTACTAAGCAATTTCATTGGAAATTGGTAGGCATTAAAAACATAATACGTCTTAAATACGAAAAAAACTATATTTTATTAATACATTATTACACATCATTAAATTATTAATATTATTGTTTATACAAATATGATATATTATTTTATAAGACTATATAATACACAGAAAAAAAAAACGTACCTACTTAATGAATGGGATTTTTGACACTGAATTTCCGCGCAAAGTTTATTTAAATCTGAAGAGTGGTCTGAACTTTTCAACTTCAAACAAGCATTTCTAGATTGGTTGACATTATAATTTGTAGTACGAAAATCTAATTATTTTATGATTTATAGGTAACCTTGGTGATACGAATGAAAAAAAATCGTTATTATTAACTAATTTGATTTTACAGGCAAATAAATACCCCCAAAAGTTACTAGGCAACAACGATTAACTATGATAGGTACCCGTTAGAAACGGGGAATCACGGGTAAACATAGTTTTATTATTTTAACATTTTTTTTTCGTTCAATATACGGGAAAAGCTGGTATAAAAATAGTTTCAACGATAATTCGATTTGAGTTTTGTATTTTTTTGTTATTATTTTTTCTGTCAATAACTTTTCTATTAGAGATCTTGCTCTGATTTTTAAGTCTAGCCCATTTCTAAAAGAAAATATGACTGAAGAGGTACTTTAAAAAGGTTATTCTTCGATTTTTTCAGAAGTTTTCCCCTCTTTAAATGTGAAAAACCAGAAAAGAAATTTAGGAAAAACGAGAAAATTTACGAAATATAACTATTATTTAAAAAATATTACGGCCTTTTTTCCCTGTGAATATTTTTTCTACAAGCAATTTTGCTCCGATTGACAATAATAGTACTTTTTCTGAAAAGAAATCTGACTGAAAAGGTACTTCAAAGAAGTCATTTTTTTTGTTGTTTTTTTAGAGTTTTCCCACAAAATGTGAAATACCGGAAAAAAAAACACGAGAAAAACGTAAGAAAAACGGGAAAATCAATACATTAAATAAATATTTATATTAATTTTTTATTATAATTATTTGTATTAAATAGTTATAGTTTATTAATAGTAAGTATTATTTAGTATTAATAATCTCATCCTCCTTTAATTTTATTATGGTTGATTTTACTCTAAAACCAAAATAATGCAAATTCTACGCTGTCTGCGTAAGATGAGAATTTTGCTATACTACCCGTTAGTTGGACTGAGGCAGCACATGCGGATATAGCGTCCTTTTGGTATAATTTTAGTATTGGTCTATGTCTAAGGATAAATCTAGGCCAAAGTCTAAGTCTAAGTCTAAGTCTAGGTCTAGGTGCAGGTCTAGGTTTGGGTCTAAGTTTTGGTGTTGGTGTTTGTATAAATATTAGTATTAGTTTAAGTGTTAGTAATAGTGTTAGTATTAGTAATAGTATCAGTATAAGAGTAAATTTTAGATTAATTGTTTGTTATAGCGTTATTGTTAGTCATAATTTCAGTAGTGTTATTATTATTAGTATTAGTATTAATAATATTGTACCTCAGAATCAGACGAGCTTGAATCGCATTATTTTTTAGCAAAATCAATTTTAAAAAAGGGCTTATTTTCTACCATGTATCGGGACTTACAATTATATTGACCATTGTTAAATTAAGGAAGGAGTATTTTTAACAGACTTTCGTTATGAAGGCTTGATGGAAAACATTTATTTATAGTATTAATTCAATATTAATGTATGCAGGTATGAAATTGTATTCCTTTAAAATTTCGTCATTTGTGTATGTCTTGCTTTTAAATATAGGTACTACAAATCTCCCTAAAACTATTTTCTTTTTATATTATACATAATTTTATATTGATTTTGTTTTTGATTTACATCAGTAAATATAATACAATATTCAATTAATTTGTTTATATCAATTTGAATTATATTAAATTATAAAATTTTGAAACTAAAACCTGTTAAAAGCGAGTAGGTGTAAATGAATGAAAAGGTTTTACGTTACTTATTTTTGTTGATTATAACTGCTCCCGTCTATACATACTAATATACTATAATATACCATAATAATATAATAATATATATAAAATAGTTATAGAGTAAACAGGCGAACAATCGATTTGAATATCAACTCTGTGTATCTACATAATGATACCTATACGTAATTCAATATAAAGGTAAATAAATACATTTATCTTCAAACTATAAAATAATCCTGCAATGATATCCAATAAATGTTTTTTTTTAAAAAGTCAGTAAAATAGTATTAATTATTTAAAATATCATACTATTTTTTTTTTTATATAACTATACGAGTTATATCTTGTATAAGCAGAAAATATTCTGCAAATGATTCTAATAAACTAAATTTTATGTTTTGTTTATAGATAGCTTCAGTTACATATTTTATGGAATATAGACAATACAAAATAAACATTTGTGTGTATGTATACATTTTACCTTAAAATATAATGGAATGTTTTATTTTTGTGTTTTAAAATGTATGTTTAATGAACACTGTTCATGTTTCGGTAAATGATATAAAAACAAGTAAATAAATTACAAAATTTAGAGGACTGATTTGAAATTTCTGACTGATTTTATTTTATTAACTTGTATTAACTTAATACGATATAGGTATTAATAACTTCCCATTTTTGAAAACGATTATGTAGTTTTAGTTATAGTTTTAAATTTAAAAAAGTATTCTTTTTTTTAATTGAATTTTAATATTTCATAATTTAAATTAGGTACCTACCTAGGTAAATTGATAAACACATAACCGACAAAATGAATAAATATTATTTCACTTTAATATATTTGTAACACCTTTAATAAATTACTATTGTATTTACTATGAATTTTCCGTGAGATTTTAACACGAAGTAATATTAATTATACGTAAATTGTAGGTATAAGTATTATAAAGTTGTTTTCACGCGTGTTACTGTAATAATTATATAGGTACGTAAACCTTTTTTTTAAATTGCCAACCCCAAAGATTTGCAAGAATGTTTATCACAATACCTACCATCCAAACAATGTGAGGGAAAACGAAATGTGATAGGCACGATTTCCATAACTCTCTTAAACATTCCAAATAAAATTATAGAGTCAGTTTCACGCATCGCCTAATTTGAAATATAAATGAGAACTTAACCATAATATTTTAACTATGTAATAATATGTGCTTAGATTATTTATGTACGTGTTTATTAAATACGTATAATATATAATATTTTAATTTATATCGCAACTCCTCACCTGTAGATATAAATTATGATATATCCTGTGTGCAACTTTCAAACACTTCAACTCGATCAAAACAATTGTATCCATATAAAATCAAATAAAAACTAAACCAAGTCGAAAATATTCATATTGTCTATGATAAATACATATAAGAATAATTAATAATATGTAAATTGTCAAAATGTTATGAATATTTATGAAAAGACTAATTTAAATATTCTGTGAGAATTTCAGGTCTCTTCCGTAATTATTTTTAACCGCATTACAACAAAAAAGTCGAATCAAAATGATGAAATATATACTCCCGTAAACTCTACTGTTTTTCTATACATCTTTTTTTGGTTTTCCCCAATGATTGTAAAAACTCTAAGGAAAATGAAAAAAACATACAAAATGACTCATGCTGTTTATTTATTAGAGAAAGAGCATTTCTTGTTGTAAAGTTGTTTTTAAACACACAATATAAACTGCACATATCATAGTGAAACCAATATACATAACGTACTTACCTATGTACGCTCAGAATCTATGAACCTTGTATAGAACCTCTCGTATATATGATATAATAGGTATATAAAAACAACAACCAGGAAAGTTTTCTATGTTATGATATGGTATTAAACGTGTGCGTTCATAAAATTTGCACTATCTTGGCTTCGTTTACGGAAAGGATATTATATTATAGGAACGATAAGACGCAAACAAAATGTCTTCACGTATCTTACTTTAATATCGAAATAAATCGCTTTTCACGGACTTGTGGCATCCAGTAGCTTAGCTAAGAAAATATTTCAAGAGAAATAAAGTCGTATTTTAAATTATTCTCATCATTTACCTATAGAATTTCCCGTTTTTACATATTACAATAATTAATAAATTACATTAGAAAAGAAAAAAAACAACTGTAAGTAGTAGATCTCTGTTACTATATTATAGAGTTTAATTGAATCCTTCCCCTAATTTTGTATTATAATACAATAACTATACTCTTTCGGAAAAAGGGTGTAATTTAATCGTACAAATAGTAGGGGTGAAGGTCGAAACCGCTAAGGAGTACACATTCGTAATACTAACGCCGTACATATACAAAATGTATGTACTCCCAGCAACATTTAGGGGGGGGAGGTCTGCGGGGGTTAAAGTTAAAAGTTCAAAATTGAAAAAAAACTCTTTTCCGATACCGTGCATAAGTATAGATATAAATTATAAATTTTTAAATTGTAATATCATTACATATACTTAGCTAATGAAAACGGTCTGGGCCCCGGGATAGAATAGACCCAGAGCATTCCCTGCTTGGCGTAAGAGGCGACCAAAAGGGTCTGGGGAAGGGCAGCAGCTTCCCGAGTGGAAAGTTTGAAAATGTAAAACTAGAAATGAGAAGATTAAATATTGACATTATAGGGATAAGTGAAGTAAGATGGCCAGATCCCGGTGATTTTTGAGTGATGAGTATAAATTCATTCATACAGGTTCGAGTAATGGACATACTGGTGTTAGCATCATCATGAATAAACAGTGTGGGGAAAGTGTGATCGGCTACAATCAATGTACAGATAGGATCATCATGGTTAAAATTAATACTAAACCTGCTATTATAACGATTATCCAAATATACATGCCAACATCATCACATAATGACGAAGAAGTTGAAGAAACTTACGATAAAATAGATGAAATAATGGCGATGACTAAAGCAGGAGAGAATGTTATAATCCTAGGCGACTGGAATGCAGCAGTAGGCGAATGGAAAGAAAGTAACATAACGGGTAGTTATGGGTTGGGAACCAGAAATGAGAGAGGGGAACAACTAATACAGTTCTGTACACAACACAAATTGACAATTGCAAACACTTTTCCAACACCATAAAATAAGAATATATACCTGAAAGAGGCCGGGAGTAACAGCGAGATATCAAATCAATTACATTATGACTAAACNCAGTAGGCGAAGGGAAAGAAAGTAACATAACGGGTAGTTATGGGTTGGGAACCAGAAATGAGAGAAGGGAACGACTAATAAAGTTCTGTACACAACACAAATGGACAATTGCAAATACTTTTTTCCAACACCATAAAAGAAGAATATATACCTGGAAGAGGCCGGGAGATACAGCGAGATATCAAATCGATTACATTATGACTAAACAACGTTTTAAAAATCAAATTAAACAATGCAAAACTTATCTTGGTGCTGATATTAACNGAGGGGAACGACTAAAACAGTTCTGTACACAACACAAATTGACAATTGCAAACACTTTTCCAACACCATAAAATAAGAATATATACCTGAAAGAGGCCGGGAGTAACAGCGAGATATCAAATCAATTACATTATGACTAAACAACGTTTTAAAAATCAAATTAAATAATGCAAAACTTATCCTGGTGCTGATATTAACAGCAATCACAATCTAGTTATTATGGAAACAAATATAAAGTACAAAAAAATTAAGAAAGGTGGATTTACAAAAAAATGGAATTTAGAAGTGTTTAAGAAAGATGAGAAGAGAATAGAATTTAAAGAGAAATGTAAGAAAGCATTTAACAACATACTAATTGATAATTGTCATTCTGAGGAAATTAAATGGGACAATATTAAGAAAATTCTAAAGAGCCAGACAGAGGAAGTAATAGGAACCCAANATCAAATTAAACAATGCAAAACTTATCCTGGTGCTGATATTAACAGCGATCACAATCTAGTTATTGTATAAACAAATATAAAGTACAAAAAAATGGAATTTAGAAGTGTTTAAGAAAGATGAGAAAATAATAGAATTTAAAGAGAAATGTAAGAAAGCATTTAACAACATGCTAATTGATAACTGTCATTCAAAAGAAATTAAATGGGACAATATTAAGAAAATTCTAAAGAGCCAGGCAGAGGAAGTAATAGGAACGCAAAAAAAAAGATGCGAGAAAGCCTTGGATGACAGATGAAATTGTTAAGCTAATACATGAAAGAAGAAGGTATAAAAATCAAATTAGCACTCAAGAACAAGAACAATACAAAAGAATACGAAATGACGTTAAAAGGAAGATGAAAAAAGCTAAAGAAGAATGGCTAGATGAACAGTGTAAGGAAGCAGAAGAATTTTTAAAAAGAGGAAGAAGTGACCTGGCGTTTTTAGAAATTAAAAAGCTTTTCTGTGAAAGGAAACAAAACGCAGGAACCCTAATAAACAAAAACGGCGAATTAATACTAGAAGCTCTTAAAAACGGCGAATTAATACTAGAAGCTCTTTAAAACAAAACGCAGGAACCCTAATAAACAAAAACGGCGAATTAATACTAGAAGCTCTTTAAAAAGATACTAGAAGCTCTTNCGTATGGTGTAGATGAAATCCCAGCAGAGTTACTTAAATACACAGACGTAGTTGTTAGAAAAGAACTGTACAAAATATGCAATGAAATATATTTAAAATGAAAAACCATTAGTGATTTCGAGAAGGGTATTGTGATACTGATTCCAAAAAAGAAAGGAACACAAAAATGTGAAGAATACAGAACATTAAACCTCATCAGACATGCCTCCAAAATCATCATCAGAATAATCAAAAACAGGATAGACAAAAAGATAGAAGAAAATCTGGGTAAAGATCAATTCGGATTCAGAAAAAACATAGGAACCAGGGAGGCAATCGTAACGCTGAGAGTATTAATTGAAAAACAAATTAGAAGAAACAAAGATACATTTATAGCCTTTGTCGATTTGGAGAAGGCGTTTGATAATGTAAAGTGGAGTATATTATTCGATATTCTAAAATCAATTGGGATTAAGTATTACGACAGAAGATGCATCTATAATTTATACAAAAACCAAACTTTACTAATATGTATAGATGGGAAAGAAGAAATAGCAAAAATTAAAAAGGGTGTACGACAGGGCTGCAACCTATCACCGATGCTGTTTAATCTATATATTGAAGAAGTATTGAAAGAATTAAGAGTAGAAGTAAAACAAGGAGTTAGAATAGGTGGAGAAACAATTAGCGTACTGAGATTTGCTGATGACATTGCTTTTTGCGCAGAAACAGAGAATGACCTGCAAAAGGTTTTAACTAAGGTCAATAAAATATTATGGGACAAATATGGAATGCAATTAAATAAAAAAAAGACAAAGGTTATGGCGTGCAGCAAGACAAACCAGGTTCTACTTAATATACATATAGATAACGCACGCATTGAACAAGTGCATCACTTTAATTACTTAGGAAGCAAAATAACGGAAGATGGCCGTTGTAAAGATGAAATAATAAGTAGAATAGCACAAGCGAAGATGGCTTTCCAGAATAAAAAACACCTACTAACCACCAATAGTATGGACTTAGAGATAAGAAAAAGGTTCTTAAAAATATATGTATGGAATATTGCCTTATATGGCTGTGAAACCTGGAAAATCAGTGCAATAGAGAAAAGGAAACTAGAGGCCTTCGAAATGTGGTGCTATCGTAAAATGTTAAGAATTAAATGGATTNATAAGTAAAATAGCACAAGCGAAGAGGGCTTTCCAGAATAAAAAACACCTACTAACCACCAATAGTATGTACTTAGAGATAAGAATAAGGTTCTTAAAAATATATGTATGGAGTATTGCCTTATATGGCTGTGAAACCTGGACAAACAGTGCAATAGAGAAAAGAAAACTAGAGGCTTTCGAAATGTGGTGCTATCGTAAAATGTTAAGAATTAAATAGATTGATAGAATAACGAATGAAGCAGTATTAAATAGAATAAAATAAAAGGAAATACTATGGCATACTATAAAAGTTAGAAGAGCTAAAATTATAGGACATCTACTACGCCATGAGAGTCTATCGAAAACCGTCATAGAAGGCGACGTTGAAGGCCATATAGGAAAAGGAAGACCAAGAATGGAGTACATGAAGCAAATCATAATTGACATGGGGAAGAATAGTTATAAGGAACTAAAGGAATTAAGTAACGATAGGGTCACATGGAGAACTGCAGCAAACCAATCTAAGGATTAAAGACTGAAAGAGAGATACTTACCTATAGGTTAGGTACCTTCTAACTACGTAGTTTGATGCACTATAGTGATAAATTTGAAAACTTGTGCATAATATTTTAATTTCGTATTACTGCCGTTACGGAATTAATAATAATATTATTAACTACAACGATTACGACTGAGTAAAAATAACGTAAATAAATGCTGGTTAAAACTCGAAAAACATTATTAAATAATATAATATATTCGTATATAACGGTATATACATGGGTAGATATAATTAAAAATGTTTTAATAACACACCTATATTAAAAATTATCGTAAGCGGTTCGCAGTGCGGGTAAATTCAGACGATATACTTAAAAATACATTCGACTGTAAACATTTGCCTACTTTATAATTATTATGGTAACACGATAATTATTATTCATTTGTGTTATATACAGTATACCTTTTAAAGATAAACGAAACGTTTTTTTTTTTTTTTTGATACCGAAGGTTTAATTATTTTTTATCGAGCTAAAGAGCTTTGACCGTTCAGTTGACGATATTATAAATTAATTGAAATCGATTTTTAATACTTACCTACACATAATATTATCACGTATGTTATCCACGTTAATAATAATTATTTATCTCTGCTATCTCTCCGCGCCCACTATTAAATACTTCGATACAGTCCACACAAACAATGAAGACCTCATGGTTATAGTTGAAATAGTTACGCAACGAGTAAATAATTATGTAAAATATCCGGTAAGTCCATAGCCAGACAAATTATCAGGTAGGACAAACCAAATATTAGGGAGGACATTTGAAAAAAACAATATTAACTACTTATCGACATCTAGCACTTGTTGAGGGAAGCAACAATTAGGTCCAGGGGGGCAATGCCCTTCTTGGTCCTCTGTAGCTACGAGTTTGATGTCCAGTAATTGCTTTCCTTAAAATATTTCTCTTGTGACAGCGCAATCTAGTAGATTACTATAATACATGCATATGACCAGTAACATGCCCAGACATTTTCAATGGAAGAAGATGTAACAAATAATTATCTTAAACCTTCTTCTCTACTCGAATTGGTAATTTAAAAGCTAGATCTTAAAAAAAAAATCAATTTCTTATCAATACATCAAGCTTCCCCTCGTAACTTGGCTGAAATATATGCATTTTTATATAAAATTACTCATGTTTTTAGGGTGCAAGGGGGGAGGGGGTCAGTGGGAATATATAACCTGTAATCTTCCCATTTGCTTACTCCACTATAAGTATTCAACGGTCTAATAAATTAACTAATTATTAACAACACATATTTCTCTTGACCAAGAATTAAATTAAAACTTATTGAATTGATGGACTAATACAATTTCATATTAATTTGTAAATATATTAATAGTCATGATAGTTTCAAATTTATTGTTCACTTAGAAGCTCTGAGATTAAATGAGAAAAAACCATGGTAAATATCTCGGACGATGAGGTTTTGCGCGACATATAAATCTGAGAACCAGTATAGGCCGTTCTGTAACAATCTTATTCAAGACTAAACTTCTCAAAACACATCTACGCTGTTTCTATTAAATAGCTAAAACAATCAAATATCAGTAAAGAAATTTCTCTTAGTGTTATTCACGATTTTTGTCAAATATTTGACTTAAAACGCTTATAATAACAATGTTAGGAAAGCTCAATTTGCGAGCATCATCCCAATTTCAAAACATATATTAAATTATTATTATTTATTATTTTATAATTAATAATAGATGGGCATTTATAATATTTGTATGTAATTCTATTTTGGTATTAATTCATGAATATTTGCTAGTATGAATTTGTATTTAATTTTCATATTTAAATTATGAAAAAATAATTTTAATACAAATGTTACGAATAATAAATAAATAAATAAATTATGCCTACATCTCTTTGTCAACCAAATTAACAACCATTACTATGAGTCAATAGAAACCGGTTGGTAACCTAGTTTAGAAACATTAAACTTTACTACATTACGATGAACTAAGGTTTTTTAAATGATTAATAAAACTAAAAGATAAATCAAAAAATAGCTTCCAGGAAAAATACTACATTTGAAAATCGGAGCAAACTACGTTTCTAACACACAAAAAAAACGCATACTTTCTATTGAACCAATATATTTTTCGCTATTTTCATAAAATTAACCATATTATTTATAATTTTATAAACATTCACCCTTCGTCAAATCATAGAAAGTTACTACAGATTCGTCAGAAAACATTCAATTCAATTATCCGCCGACAAACATGTATTCACCGAATTCACTAAAAACATCAATAAAAATCCACCATTTAAAAACATTTACGGGAACCACTGATAGTAAATAGAACTTACTCTACATTAGAGATCAAATGTCAAAAATTGTCTCAAAAAACGGGTTTTCCTAAATTCCTGGAAAAATAAAAAATCAAAGAATTTAAAACAATACATTTCTGTTTTTTTAATAAATAACCAGTTTTTTCGGAAATTAAAAATGATATCCAAAAAAAAATATTTTCATCTTGGAAAAACACCAATGTCATGGTACACCCATGGAGTTACTAAAAATAATTACTTTAGTATTTTCTATATAGTTGTTCAACAACTTTTTACAATTTTCCGGAAATAATTTTAAAAAATGAAAAAAATAAGTTTATTTCTGATGGTTTCCAGAAATCATTTCTTCGAGTGAATTTTTAATTCAATCAATATTTCCCAATTTTTCCAAGAATCACGTTTACTTCAGGTTTTTTTTCGAAATTTTGATTTCTCGTTGATATGCAGAAATAGGCTATTACAATTTTAAGACGATTCTGCTAAATTGTCTCACACAAGCAATGCAAATGCAATGCTGAAGTAATTATTTAAATGGAAATAAATTAATAAATGAAACGCGATTCAATTTACACTTTCTTATTTGATTAATTAATATATAATTAACAATATATTTTTTAAATTGTATTATTAATGATGCGTATAGTATAATAATATGTACAGCATATTGAAAAACAATAGTCGAAGCGAAATTCAATATAATATAATTTATGTCTGCAATTTAATTGATAAAATAAATTGATTCTTTGTTTTTTTTTCTATTTATGCATACAATTTTTTTTTTATTAGACAAAGAATTAAATTGTGTAAAATGAGACGGAAAAAATAATATTGTATTAATAATAATATTTTAAATGTTATTATTATATTAATACATTTTAGATGACAAATAATAACCAAATCATTTATATTTCTTAATATATCTATGTCTTATAATCACTAATTTTGAAATAATCTCTCAAATTAAAATAAATTATTTCTATACACTGTATACAAAATTACCAATTTGTAATTTTTTTTTTTATTTTTCTATGTATTTCTGCATTTAAATGTTTTTATTCAATCGTGTTTTACATTTTGACTGTAATATACTCGATGATGAATTTTTAATTCAAAACCGGTCGTATAATACACATATCAAAATACTCCAGGTGACGCATTAATTAATTAATTAATTTTATTTTTATATATATATATTTATTTACTTTAATTATTTACGATTATTGACCATTTTAATATTTTTTTATTTTTACTTTATTAATTTATTATATAATATATTGTGTTTAATTAATGATTATTGAGGTTAATAAAATAATTAAAATATTAAATGTGTTACTTTAGAGTCTCCGAAATGATTAAATAGTTTTAAATGTGGAGAAATTATGCTCTATTTTTTAATTTTAGATTCTGAGTGGAATGAGGAATGTATTGATTTTACAATGATGTATGTGTGTAGGAAGAGTTTTGAGGATGGGAATTGAAAAAAAAAACTTTATTATACTAGACTAATATTTTTAGTTTAAAAAATTATATACTAAATTTTGACGAATTTACAAATAATATTTTTGTTTATTTTCGATATAATTTCGTTGTTTTAGTAAATATATACCGCCTGCTATACACAATATATAATATGAAGTAAACAGTAGGAAGAAAAAACGATCATGTTTTGTATTGTTAGTAATCAGTTAAACGACTCGGAAATTGATGATAAGGTATGCCCATCGGGTAGTTTATATTGTTACATAGTGGTAAAGCAATCGTCCGAGAAACGAAAGATTCGTGAGTACGACTGCCGGCAGCCCCCGAGGTATATTTCTGAGCTTTTTTTTTTTTTTTGAAAACGAAAAGGGTCGCATGCTCTGATCCACCCGAGAGAGCGGACGACGTGTTTGAACATTAATGAATTCCAAAGGCCTCTGGCACTGAAACATGTAACGTTATACAATACAGTGCGTAGTTTGATCGAAAGATCAGATTATCTCATAATGTATATATATATGGAGGAACAAAATGGTTGAATTTTAAAAGATCTCGATGTCGACTGTTATTAAAAAAAGGTTGTACTTTACCAAATCACGACTTAACAAATCAAAAATTATTCAAGATTAAAAGTATAAAGTAATATTAAGTCTGTGTAGCAGAATCGCCTGCAGAGTCGTTAGTTTGTGAACGATCAATCAAAACTATAAGTGCAGGTCTTGCTAGTTCTATACTTTCGGAATTTCATATTGTTTTTTTCGATAATAATTATATTGGTATATTATTGTAAAGTTCAATAACATTTTTTTTGTTTTTTACTAATATTATCATACGGATTAATTATATACACGAATTGTATCCGTCAGAACTTAACACAACAAAAACCGTATTTTTTATTTTTATTTTTTTTAGCCTTTCTTAATAATGCTTAACTGTTCTATTATTTATATTTCCGTAATGTACCAAAGGATACCTATAATATAAAAATGTACGATTAAAAGTCACCATCAATTAAACACGGAACAGTGATGAAAAGTAACGTAATGTACTAAATTATTTTGTATGGTTGTTAATTACCGAATGACCTGGAAAACGAAAAAAAAGAACGAGCGAAAATTACACATTTATACCTATTTGTTTCCTTCGTTAAAAAGAAAAAAAAAACGCCAGTGCGATATATTTTAT